TCATAGTGACTTACTGCCACTATTGTGTGAGTCTCATAACTATTCCATTTCAGCAGATAATAAAGAAGATGACGAGTCTTTAATGATATGATGATTTTACTTTTGAAAAAATTGTTTAGGAAGATAATATCATCCTTTAATATAGGGTATCCAATGCTCGTTAAAAAAATTTAAGGAGAAAAATGATCCTTTTAACTTAACATATTTATATAAATTATTATTTTTAATCAAATCACCTGATAACTAAAAATTGTATTATATATACTTCAACTATAATCTTAAGTCAATCTAACTATATGTTGAAGTTAACAACTAGGTTGGCAACTAATCTAGTTTGCAAAGCTAATTTTTTAGTTAATTGCTTGACTTTTTACATAAGTTGAGGTAAATTTCATTAAAAAAAGTTTGGGCGACTTATATTGAAGGCAACAAAAAGGAAAAAAAAAAAGAAATTTATGATAAAAAATAGTCAATAACATGTCTTATAATTAATATTAAAACAGTTCTTTTATCTCTACCATATACACTACCACATCCATCTCAATTTATAATGCACTTTTGAGATATTAATAAAATTCGTTAAATATAACTTACAACTTTGTTTAAAAGAGTGAAATAATAAAGAATAATAATAGAATAATCATTATTAATAAATTTTATTATTTTTTCCAAAACATATTGTATTTTGGGATATTAAATCACTTTTAAAAGTATTTTATAAAATTGAACAGATATAATACTTAGTACTTACACACACACATTTTTTAAAGTTAGATCAGGTGAGGGAATGACCATATCGGGGTAAAATTCAAATTGCTGGGGAATCAGTCTCCTGTGATTGAGAGCGTAGGACGCAGCAAAGGGCAGCTGCACCATACTGTATACTAGCGATATCACCGCAGCTGCCATCACATATCTGCAGTTTTTAAGCATCATTGAAGGCATAAGAATTTGTTGAAGTTTATTTTCTTATGGAAAAAAATAAAAATCCAATAAAGAAATAAAATATATCTAGAATATAGAATTTAATAGTTTAAGAATAATAGTGTATATAAAATATAATAAAAAATTTTATAAAAATTATTTTTTCCCTTTTTAAATTTATACTCTTTTGGATTTAATTTCTGCAAGAACATAGAGTAATAAAAATTGAATACCCGTACAACTTTAGTACTTTCTGAATTTTATTGAACTTATATAGACTTTTTAAGAAAAATGTAAAAGATATTCAAGTATAATTCACTTATAATATTTAGAGAAGAGATCATTTTGTAAATTTTATAAATGAAAAATCCATACAATTTCGACAAAATTTAAAAATAGTCTCCAGAATCCAAATTCTAATTAAAGTAATTAATCTAATAGAAACAAAATTCGTTGGCCACTTTTTACTTAATCATAATTATTTAATATATTTCATAAAAAACTTCTAACACACCACACTATTTATAAATTATAAACAATACAATTATAAATCCCATACCTCGTAATGTTTCAAAAAAACTGTGTAATATACAACTAAAAAGAGTTGAGTATAATAGAAGGGACGTGATAAATTGAGATTCAAATCATGTTGGAAGAAATGCCCATGTTCAATGCTCAACTCTACTCCCTTCGTTTTCATATTTAAGAAAAACTGCCAAACATCTCCTTGCTTTTAATTTATAAGTAAAATTACAAATTTCAAAGAGCATTTAGCATTTTTTTTCAAATTGTCTCTTATAAAGTTAATGTTTATTTTCACTAGATAAATTTGTTTCATTAATTACAAGGACAATTTATCCAAATTTTTTAATTTTTGACATAATTATTTTACTTCTCCAGCTTTCTTAAACTATGTGAATTGATTATTTTCTCCTACATTTAAAAATAGAGGGAGTACTGCAAATAAAATTGTCTCCAATGAAACAATACCTAAAATAAATTAGAAAAAATATAACTATTGATCCTTATAATTTTATCGTGTTTTATTATCGATTCTTGTACTTTATTTTTGTTGGTTTAAGTCCTTATAGTTTTTCTCATTTGCAATATTAACCCCTCTATTTCTAAATATGTTCAGAGAGACTATGATGTGGCACTAATGGTATTAAATTATCCAATGTGCAACTAATTGTGTTAAATTGAATGTTAAAATAAGGAAAAAAAAAGAGCAACCTCAAAATATAGAATAACAAAAATCAATTGGAAGAAATTGGACACTATGTCTAACTCCGTGAAGACCGAAAAAAAAAAAAAAAACTCCAACATCAAGATTAACCAAAAATAGCAACCAACAAATGATTAAAAATCAGAAAAAAAAAAAAAAGAGTATCATGGTGTGGTGGACGAAATCAAAGCAGGGGTGAAGAGATGAGCTTGAAATCTGTAAAAGAAATGAAATAAAACCAAACCTTTCACTTGATATGTAGTGAAATGATATTAGTTACATGTTAGATAATTTAACACTGTTAATGTTATATTATCAATTCTATAAGTATATTTAAAAATAAAAGAATTAACATTAACAAATCAGAAAAACTATAGGGACTTGGAGTAACGAAAAAAATATAATAACTAATAACAAAATACAATAAAACTATAAAAATTAATAATTGTGTTTCTACAATATATTGCAAGTGTGAGTGTACGATCGACGTTGTCAGTACCTGAAAGTGATGGTGTTTTGGAATTCAACACTAAAGGGCGGAAATGGCTCCAGGAAATGGCTGGTAGCTAGTAAGATGATGGTTATTAGAGAGTTTTTGAGAGCAATGGCCCTAAGCAAGAGAATTGAGATGGCAGCTTTGGAAACCATTGTAGCTTTCCTTAATTACTTTGTGTTGAGTGTGCCATTAATTGATCTTGTAAACCTTTTTTATACTTGAAAACCCTGAGAGGTTTTTGTCCCTTTTTCTCCCTCACTTGCCACTTCGATTTTAATTAATTAATTAATTAATTATTATTGTTTGCTATAAACAATAAAAACCGCGTGGCTTTCGGTCTTTTCCAGGAGTTATTCCACTCTAATTGTGGCTAAATGTTGGGGCTGTAAGGGCAATGCCGATTGCAATGTGTGCATGTGCATGAAAAAGAGTAAATGTAGCAATAGGTGTAACCTAATTTTTAAATTTCTTTCTTATAGTGATTAGTAGAAAAATTTAAAATAGTACTGCTTCAGATCATATTTATAAGTAATTTCTTATATGTTTTCCTGCACTAAAAGAAAACATTAAAATTTATTAATTTTGTTTAAAAATTAATTTTTTTTAACTTTGTCCCTATTGAGGTTTATATTTCAATAATATATTTTCTCCCACTAAAATTTAATGAAAAGTAAGAAAACTTACAATAAAAATTTAATGATATGATTTATAAATAGGATAAAAAAATTTCTTGCTTTATAAATAGGTTTGAAGAGAGTATATTACTCCATTCATTTCAATTTATATGACACACTTAAACAAAATTATGCACACCAATAAAATTCATTAAATGCACTTTATAACCTTACATTTTCAAAATAAAAACATAAAATTTTAAAAATATCCTTCATTTAATATTATATTTTTGACAATATTAAAAAGAGAGAATATATGATAAAGATAATGCTAAAAAATATCATTAATAAAAATTTATTTTTATCAAAGTATTTTATATTGAAAATGCGAAAGTTCTTCCAAAAGTATCTTAAAAAAATAGTAAATTAAAAAAAACTTAATGAAGACACATGGCAAACATATGTCAACTGTGAGCAGACGGTGAAGTTTTTGCCCCTAATAAATTGAAATTAAAAAATTCTCCCCTGGCTAGATGTAATTTTGGTGTACGACATTAGCACTGCCTTTTAATTTCTTTTTCCGTTGTTTATCAAAAAAGAAAGAAAGAATTCTCCCCTTCGTGTCATAAAAAAAGTCACAAAAACTTGGAAGAATTTGATTATGGGATCAAAGATGTGATTTTATTTCCAATCAGTCCCAAAAAATTTTGAAATTACACTGTATTACTAAGGGGCTAAATTATTTTTAAAAAAACTAACATTTTTTCTTTATCATATTAATAGGACCATAGAATTATTAATGATGATAAAGAGAGAAAGACAAGAAATTAAAAAAAAACACTCTATCCCAAAAATGAAGTCATTAAAAATAATACACATAAGATTTGATTTAATTGAACTAATGTAATTTTGTTAACGTGATGTACATAATCCATGCAAGAATAATTTCTCACAAAATCATTCGCTCAATCTTTTTAGGGAAAGAGGTTGTCCTTGTTTTGCTGCTCCCCGCCGGTTGATTTTTTTATTTTATTTTCCGACATCTTGTAACATCAAACGTTTTTTATTTTTTGGCCAGTAACATCAAACGTTTACTTATGGGATTTCACAAAAAAAAAAAGTTTAATTTTGAGATTGATTCGTAATTTGATTTAACCTTTAATTAATATGTTTATCAATGAAAAAAGAGAACAATAAATAAAAAAGAGACAAAGCCACCCATGCACGATGGAATAAATTTATTACGGTCTGAAAAAGACGACGTTATCCTATCACCATGTAAATACATATACGTGAACGAAATCATATGAAATACATAAAAGGATAACATTAATAGTATAAACTAATAATGCAGTTTACAAGCCCGGAATAGTACAGAAGAAATTAATGTATATCAAGAGAGAGATCCTGTAACCCAAGCATATAGTCATGAGATGCTTTATCGGAGAGAAGATGACACTCAAGTCTCAAAAGAGGGGATTGATGGCAATTAGATCTTCGAATTCTCTAAAAGATAATGAGTTATAAGTATTAATTTAAACAGTTACAAATTGAGATGTTTGTAACTCTTAATTTGCAATTGAAAATTTTATTTATAACTTATCTTTTTAAAAAATTATCGAAGATCTAACTGTCATTAATTTTTTTTTTAAATTTTGTTGTCATTCTTGGCCTTTATAAAGAGTCTTATTAATTTCTTTTTATTATTTACTTGATAGTCACAGGGGAAATGATGAAGTGTTCAGTTGAAAAAGCCTTTACTTCGGTTTCGATTAATGGAGGAAATAACTGATACGATGGCCAAGCAAAGGCAAGCCAGAGCCAGAATAGATGAAGCAATTATCCCTCTGTCAAAAAATTTGTTCAAGTGCTTGATCAATGTCAGAATAAGGTCCGTATTTGGAATTAATAAGTTTTCTTCAAACCGTCTCTTGGAGTTTTGTAAGCCTCTCTTGGATTCATATGACACAGCAATACCAGCACCTATTGCTGTTGCCAGCAACAGACTAATCACCTGTAATATAATCCTCAATCATCAAAAAGTAATTGCATCTGATTAATTAATCACTTGAAATGAATTTTAAAAACTCTCCAAATTTATTTAGAATTTAACTTTTTTGTGTAAAGAATAAGGAGCAATTGCTCAAAAATGAGGGAAAATGAGAAATGGGCAAAGAATAAGGGAATGACATCTTAATTCAAAACTTCAAGAGTGAAGTTTATGAGTCATTACTCTTTATTTTATATTAATTATTAGGCTTGATTAAGCACGCTCACACCTAGACAATCTCACATTTTGAAAATAATTAATTGATTTTCATTTTTAAGAAATTAAAGATGGAGATATATATATATATATATATATATATATATAATAGAAATGATGGAACCTTGTCGCCGATGAAGTCAAAATCTGGCAAGCATCCATTACGAATTAGTCTCTTCTGCTTCACAGCATAGTACACTGCGAATGGAAGCTGTATTATTCCATACATTGCTGATATTGCTGCCACTGCCAGCACGTACCTGCACAAACAATTAATATATATATATATATATATATTATCATTTTCTTGAGTGAATTATTGAGACTTAATGTCAGTTTTCAAAATCTGATTTGTTTAAAGATGACTATAACAACAAATTAAAGCTTATCTCATTAAGTATGGGTACGAATTGTACGATGTTGTCGTCGTTGGCTGTATCCGAAGCCAACTCTTTCAATAAACTAGTAAGTAGAAAAAATCGATTATGAAAAGTAAATATATACATGCTTTTCTTTCCTACTTATGAAAATGTTTGAGAAATAATGTTGATGAAAATATAATAATATCATATCCTTAAACAATAGATAATCTTTTATGATTGTAATAATGCAAATACAGAATATATATTCTGCTTTGCACAAAATAAAACTGTTGAATAGTATTAAAAATTACTTAATTTTCAAACTTAAACAAACGGGGCTTGATGCCTTATCCATCGTGTTCAAAGAAGATTGTATATTTTTTTTAATGAATTATTGTAAGACTCTGGGTAAAAAAACATTTTTATAATTATTTACTTTTATTTTTCCTCTCAAAATAAGAAAAAAAGGAAAAATTATTTGAGGTTCTACTCAACACAATTAAATACCATAAAATTAATTGACAACTGAGCAAATAACAATTGTCAATGAATGGTGTAGTATTTAAATGTTTTGTATGAAACTTGTATGTAATTCTTAAAAAAAAAAACAATAAACTACATCACAGTCTTGTAAAATTAAAGGTATATATACGATGATGTGTAAATTGTGATCCAAAAAGATAATTAAATTACCTGAAAGCCATAATATATTGGAATTTCAACGTCAACTCCAATTCGATACCATCAAGAAGATCATCAAACTTGACATTGTTAGTGATCACTAGGGGAATTGTGGCCACTGAGGCTGCCAGAGCGATGATCCTCAACACAAGCATCGAGTTCGCAATACCTTGCGACACCATTTCTTCGATGTTAATTACTGTACTTTGGATCGCTGATCTTTTCTTTTCCTCTAATTAATTAACCTAGCTAATTAATCACCTTCTTAACTTAATTACTAGCTCGGCTCTTAACTACATATATATACTCTCCAGTCTCCCAAACAACAAAGTACGGAAGCTGGATCCTCACTGTACGTGCCTTCTACGTTTTGTCCATTTTGTGTCCTCCGTCGTTTACTCCAATGCGTTCTGATTTCTTTTATTTTGCCCATTCTCACAAGGCAATTAACGTTGGACCTCACGGTTGAATTACAGTTAAGATATTTTCTGGTCTTGGATAATACAGACGCAATATATATATATATATATATATAGTCCATGTGTATGACACACTTGGGTTTGTTGGATTTTGCTGTAATATGGATTGTGATCATTTGGCAGACAAGAGCCTGCAATAGACATTGGAACTCACGTCTGCTACGGTTGATTTGTTTCTTAATCTTGTTCTTGTTTGTTTAGAAAATTAGATAAACAATATAAGGGTTAATGAGCAAAATAGAACCTAAACTTTTACTCAAAAAGTACCCTAAACATTGAACTCTTAAAATGTGCAAAATAAACCCTAAACTTTTAAATTCATAACAAATTAAATCTACCGTTATCTTTTTTTTAACGTTGTTATTGTTCACTGTTACTGTTCACTGTAGGCCTGATTAATTAACGCTACAAACCTTAAACTATTACGTGAATAGTATTCTGGACCTTGAACTTTAAAATTTCGAGCAAATTACTTCTACCGTTGATTATTTTGTAGACCAAATTAGTCCCAACGTGGTTTCTCACGGTGAATGCATGATTGGCCATGGCGAACGACCCATAATTTTATGAAAATATATTTTTTGCCCTTTTTTGCAGTGTTTTTCAAATGATTAATATCTCATACTTTTGTATACTCTATTATTTTAATTTAATCTTATTTTGAATGATATTTTTTTATTTAATGGTGAAAACTTGGGATCCTATTGGAAAAGAAGTTTAAATATCAAAAAATTTTAATTACCTAATTACTTTGGGTTTTAAATTCATTGATAAAATCATCGGCTTTCATATCCATTGTCTATAAAATTATATGATACTTACACTTCTTTTCAAATGGAATTTCAAGTTTTCATCATTAAATAAAAAAATTATTCAAAATAAGACTAAATCAGAGTTATAAAGTATACAAAAGTATGAGATATCAATCATTTAAAAAATATTACAAAAAAGGGCAAAAATATCATTTTAAAAAATTATGAATCGTTTGCCACAACCATCGATGCATTGGCCATGGTGAATCATGCAAAGACTAATTTAGTCTACATAATAGTTAACATTCTATACATAAACAGTAAGAGTAGTTTGCTCAAAATTTTAAAATTTAGAGTTTAGGATGCTACTTACGTAATAGTTTAGGGTCTGTGGCATTAATTAATTGAGGCCCACGATGAATAGTAACAGTGAACAGCAACATGTTAAAAAATAATGGTATGGTTTAATTTGCTATGAATTTAAACATTTAAGGTCTATTTTGCACATCTTAAAAAGTTCATGGTCCAATGCATTTTTTGAGCAAGAGTACAGAGTTTATTTTCCTCTCATTAACCCAAAAATATAAAGTATAATTGTTCCATCTATTTCAAAATATTATGTTTTTCAGGATTTTTACACAGATTAAGAAATGCAATTAATAAATAGAAATATCTATTATATATTCAAATTTGTCTTTTAAGACTTCAAAAATAAAAAAAATACTATTTTTTTATATTTTTTCCTACTACTCTTTTCTCTCTATTTTGAAATTAATGGAGTAAATAAAGGAATATTATGAAAATCCTATCAAAAAAGGTATATCATGGAAAAATTTTAATGAATACTGCTATGAATTTCTAAGAAGACATTATTATAAGAGCTTAATGAGGATGAGGTTGAGCACCGCCCAGTATAATTTATACCATGTCTCATGCAAATCATCTCATCAATCACGGAATATTTAGTAGGAAAAATTATGTTCAGGTTTCACGAAAGGAAGTTCATTATCAAGAAGTCTCACAAATTTTATAAAATACTCCCAAATCTCAAATCCTACACATTGACAGCTTAATCAAGGGCATTAACAACTGAGTAATGATCATTTACAACTTGTTATTATAAGTTGTTATTTTTCTTTACAAATTATAAATGGTTGTTACTTAGTTGTCAATGCATAAGATTTGAAATTTGAGAGTATTTTGTAAATTCATGAAATCTCTCAATAATAAATTCCTTTTGTGAATCCTGAATATAATTTTTCCTATTTATTATTTAATTAATGAAAAATTATTATATTTTAATTTCATGATATCAAAATATAGAATTTTTTGGGATATTTTCATTTATTATTAATTAAATAATTAAAATATGATAAATGGCCATCATATTCCTGTCAGATGGATAGAATTTAATTAGGTCTAAGGGTTTTTACCAAGTCAATCGATAAAATTTATGTTATTTTTTAATGAATTTGATTGCAAATATGTTCAGATTATTGAATTAATGACTGAATCAAAGAGTTAGCATACACATACACACACAACTCTTTTAAAGTTCATGGACCATAATCATATGATGGCCCGGACCATTGATCATCATGCGCGATGCCCCCCCGGCCGGCCCCCCGGGGGGGGGGGGGGGAATTCCCTAACATGCTAATTTTTCTAATGACCTTCTATTGCATGTAATTTCAAATTTAATTTAGAGCACAATATACCCATAGAGATTAATGCGAATGATTCGAAGAAGACATATAAGGGCATCCACGATCAAATGAGAATGTCTCTAAATATTATTACACTGAAAATGATGACAGATCAAGCGCAATTAAGTAAAAATTTGAATGAAATGATATCAATAATCAAAAGAAACCACAGAATTGACATTAAGAAAACTAATAATAATAATGCATGCATGTGGGGTGACATATATAAAGATATTGTTTCTTATATTATTTACGACGATATGAGAATCAAAGAGGAAATTTGTAATGAAGTGTTCAGTTGAAAAGGCCTCCTCTGCTTCGGCTTCGATGAATGGAGGAAATAAGTGAGACGATAGCCATGCAAAGGCAGGCCAAAGCTAGAACAGACGAAGCAATAATCCCTCTATCAAGAAACTTGTTCGCTGTGGACCTGATCGGGTCACTCTTTGGAATCCCTTCACTCTTAAATGTATCCTCCAAAGATTTCTTGATCTCGTAAGACACGCCAATTCCTGCACCTACCGCTGATGCCAGCACCAGACTAATCACCTGCAATTTCAAAACAGCTATTACCACTTGCACGTCACATTAATTAATCCGACTAATCTATGTCCAGTCTGTGAAATGTGTAATTAAAAGATTTGAGGGATTTAATGCATGTGAAAAGAAACTAAACAAACACATTAGTTAGAGTTACGTGTGTGATTCGCCATGGTTGTTAGAAGATATAATGCGCTAATTTACTTGGTCTTACAAAGAGTTAGAGGAGAAACTTAGCCTATTTAATAATTCTTATTGGACCCACCCACTACAGGCTTAAAGTTAATGGCTCACACTTTAGCAGCTAACTAGACTCAATAGATGGCGTTTTTAGTCCATATCAAGTATAAAATTATATAATATAACTGGGTTTTGATATTTCAGGACCACCACCAATTAATCGTTTTAACAAATTAACAAAATAATTAATATGGGCCCACACATTAATTTCGAACAGATCTAGCTAGTCACCTAAAATCATAAGCGTAACGAGACTATTAGTATAAGTTAGCATAGTATCATCGGCTGAATTGGTATCAAACTATCAATTACTCATGGAAGAAAATACGGTGAGAAGAGGAATGATAGAAAGAAGAGGAACCTTGTCGCCAATGAAGTCAAAATCTGACAAGCATCCATTACGTATCAATCTCTTCTGCTTCACAGCATAGTACACTGCAAATGGAAGCTGTATTAACCCATACGCTGCTGATATAGCTGCTGCTGCTAGCACGTACCTGCACGATTAACACTTGATTTTTTCTGTATCATTTTCTCAAAGTAAGTTATTGGGAAGAAGCTAGAATTAATGATGTTTGAATCGTGGAGGATAAAACTACCTGAAAGCCATAATATCTTGGAATTTCCACTCGAAATCATTAAGAGATTCAAACTTGACATTATTAGTAACCACCAAGGCTATAGTTGCCACCGAGGCCGCCAGAGCAATGATCCTCAGCACGAGCATTGAGTTCGCCACACGTTGGGATGCCATCTTTATGATTAGCCTAATTAATTAGTTGGTGGGCTCTAAGTCACACACACACACAGATATTCTCAGGTCCAAGACTAGTCCTTTTTATACCCAAACAATGACAACAAAGGATGGCTACCTTCTGTGTCATGTCCCTTGTCGCCCTTCGTTTGTTTCAATGCGTTTGATGTGTTTTAAAATGCGGAAAGCCCATTCGTTTGTTCATTTCCACGTGCTTTTAACACGAAACTGAAAACTTACTATATGTTACAGTTAATACTAGCTACTGTTTCTTGTTTTCAAAGAAATATATGCTCTTTCTTATTTTAAGATGTAGACGTTCGGGGGGATCTTCGTACATATATATGAGACACAGCACTTTGTTGTATTTTGCAGTAAATTAATGAAACTGTCGTTTGGGGGACCAGCAGCCTGCAGCACATATGCATCGAAAAAGACGTTCGATTCAGTTAACTTTTTTTTAAAACACCAATGCCGGCTCCACGAACAACAGAGAAGCTTCTTGTTTGCTTGCTTGCTTGTTTTTTTTTTTTTTTCGTGGATAATATTAAAAAAAATTAGACTATAGTACTAATATAGGCCCATTGTACATATGAAATTGATTGAATTTAGGATCAACACCATCCTTTCTGTGTGTGTGTGTAATCAGTCCCATGTCTGACGAAATTTGTTTCATCAAACTGCCGAATATTTTCTCCGACGAATTGCAGACTTGACGATTTCAAGCTATTAGAGTTTGTTGGATAATATATTTGGCAAAGTGCATCAGTAGGGATGTGTGTGTGTGTGTGTGTGATTGCATTTTAGTTTTAGTTTGCAGTTTTATGTAATTGTTTTTAATCCCTTTAGTTTTGATCTATCTGTAATATTAATACCTTTAGTTTTAGAAATACACATTAAGACCATGACTTGGCAGTATCAGAGTTAATTTTGCAAACGTGTATTTAACTCTATTAACCCCATTACTATCATGGAAAAATATGTTGATGTGAAAATAAATTGAGACTTACTATTGTATTATTTACCAACACTAGTTTTTTTTTTTTTAATATAGAAAGTTGAACGAATTGAATCTTAAGAGTTCATTAAGTTAAAGCATGTATTCAAACTCAAAAAACACTTAGAAAGATATTTAAAAACAAAACTAATTTATCAAAGAGGAGTAACTTTGTTGAAGGCCTATCAGTAGTGAGGCCCAGTCCATAAATTATAAGTACTATTGTGTAATTTTTTTTTTTTAAGAATTATGGGTCTTATTTTGTTGATTATCTATTTCTCTTGTCCACCCACCATAAGTAACTCGAATGGCCTTGTTTGAATTTTTATTTGTTTTGGTTTGAAATATAAGGAGTACAAACTATCAATAGTAAAGACTAATCTCTTTGGTGATACCAAGGATAAAAAGTAATTTTTTTAACTAGATTTTAAATTCATTACATATTCAAATCCCAAATATTTGCTTAAATGATGAGTTAGAACTGTTACCATTTACGCTAACATAAGTTGTTGTAACATGTAATGCACGTTGTCTTTGTTCAAATTTGCCTTTAATTTACTTAAAATTAGCTTCTTGTTATTGTTACTTAAAACTGGAGATATGATTGTACTTGATAAGGTTGGAATGAATTTTATTGTGTGTTAGCATTAATTTTTTTTAATACAAGAGAAAGAGGTCCATGGACCAACATTAAAAGGAAACTTAAGTATTGGGGGAGTGTCATAACTACATGAACCATTTATGCCTGCTTTAGCAAAGTGCACGGCCGGCAATAATATTGCTCTCCGTAGACATATACTGAGCTTGAACTTGCCACTGAAGCGCCAACATTTAAAACTTTGATAAACTTTGTTGGGTAATCAGTATTGTTTTAAATACTAAGCCCAAAGCAGATTGGGTCGACACTTATTTGTATCTATTGGGTTGAGATCTCAACTTGCAGCCTTTTTAGTAATCGGTGTGTTTCCTATTCAGCCTTTGGTAAAGAGTTTTATTATTTTACCATTATTTAAAAAATTATTGGAGATTATTTTATATAAATAGCTATCACTATCATTTTGAACACACAATCACCTCATTTTATGAGTATGACACATTCTGCCTCCCTCTCTCCTCCCCCTCTTTTCTTATTGTAAGCGCAAAAAAAAAAAAGTTTATACATTTTAAATATAATCGCATGTAATAATTTAATTCGGAAATATTACCTTTTGCCATCAGTATTTTGAAAAACAAATCTCTATTATTGGCAGAGCGTACTCTTAGCTTGTACTCGCCAAAAAAATATTATGTCTTTTACACATAGATTGATTTAAACAAGGGGTTACCAAATTAGGTATGCACTTGTTTATGTTGATACACATGTCACATACATTAAATTCTTCTTATCTGATCCAATGATTGATTGAATCTAACAAACACTAATTGTGGATTCAAAATTTCAACTCATTGGGCATGTATGCAGTTTTTGCATAAGCATAAAAAATAGCTCCACTAATAGCAAATAATATTTCCCTTGACATACTGAAAGCATTAAGTGGATGCATATATATGATATTTTTATACATATACCAAAGGGTTGAGGTTTAAATCTATAATCACTTACTTAAAAGATAAGAGCCTCTATTACTCATACCAACTTTAATTTAAAGAATCACTCATAATTGCTCATATACATATACATATACATACATATGCATATGCATATGCCAGAACAAGTTTTACTTTATCGAGGAGGGTTTGGGTTCCCTGTTGAAGAGAGAGAGAATATGACAAACATAGATGCCTGATCTCTCCTTATTTGGTGTTCGACGTATATGATCTAATTGCTATGGAGTTATGATTTCCGATTGATTATAATTTCCTGTTCCGTTTAAGTTAACCGATCACATTTATTATAATTATTGTAAATTGTTTTGATATTTATTAGGATATCTCATTTTGTTTTATATATAAACCTTTATAATATATGTTTTTTTTAATATGCTTTTGTTGAATGTTGACCGAATAAAGACGGCACATTTCACATATACATATTCACAGTGTCTTTTTTTTTTTTGGGTGCCTTTTTGCAATATTACTTTTCGGAGAACACTTATTTGTTTGTTTCAGTGGGTATTCAGAAACTGGTGGCAAGGGAGACAATTTGAGAGACATTAGCAGCTACTTGAATTGGGCCGGTTTTGGAAGGAGACAACGTGGCAAGATTAAATTCGCCGCCACGAAACATGCCTTGGAATTTGTTTTGATAAATGGAGGAGATTACTGAAAGAACAACCATGCATAAGACACCCACCAACAAACAAATATTGATCCACTCTTTGTCATTGTGGAAGTGATCACAAGGCCCGCCAAAGCCTGCTCCCACCGCACTTGCTAGCAACACAATTATTACCTGCAAAACTTCAACATCTTCCATTCAATTTAATCTTGTATTAGTAGGTAATCTTCTTTATTATTGGTAAAATACTTTCGTTAAGAAAGAACTATGAGTACCTAATTCCTTTCCTTTTCTTAATTTAACATTAATTATTCCATGTACCAAACACACCCAGAGAATCATATACTCACTCCAATGCTTATTATAAGATAAAATGATGAATCTAGAGGGGGATAAGGGCCCCACACTTCAATAGTGCTTTGAAAAAGTATATATTATTTTTACTTATAAAAAATATTAAAATGGATTTTGGCACCTCACTTTATGTTTTTCATTCAATTTGGCCCTCGCATTCATCACTTTCTATATTTGTCATTGATAAGATATCTCTAATTATCTCACAAGAACTGCTAAGAGCTGGATGAGTCAATAATTATTGTTTAAAAATAAAATAAATTTTTAATATTATCCCTATTTAAATAAAAAAAATTTTAAATTTGTATTACATGATCTCCCATAATTAATGAGTTTAAATAGGGATAATATTAAAAAAAACATAATTGATATTATATCAAATGCCTTATATTAAGAATAAAATAGTCTTTCTAAAAATTACCCTACAATAAAAACAAAAAGGAATATTTTGTTTTCACTTCTGCTTAATATTCTATTTTACCTCTTTCGATGTCCATTCCTTCTCAAAGCTGAGATGCATTTTTGATAGCTGAGAATATATGGACCAACTTGACTTATACGAACTGTGTTGTATTTAATCTATTTTTATATTAATTAGAATTTTTTGAATCTAACACAAATGATATATGGATTAAATGAGCTAATTCACCAACCCATTTAACTTTTTTTTACTTTTTCTTTAAGAATCATACCTATATATATAATTCATGCCAATGTTACATACAAAATAAAATTAGTATTATAACATAATTATCTATATTAATAAAACAAAAGTCAAAATACATCATAACAAAAATATAATCATCCATCTTAATTTATAATCCACCACAATTCCCAAAAATAAATATGTCTCATGTCATGGCTGTCAAAATTTACAAGTCAAATGTGAGGAGTGAGCGAGGAGTTAGAGCTCAGATAATCCTAGTGGCAGAGAAAGCACAAATAGTTGAACATGATTATAGAGAGGAAAAGATTGGTGGCAGCTTAGAAATTTAAGCTGGGTTTTTCTTTTATTTTTTATTTTTTTAAAGTTTGTTATGATCCCTCCTTTTTAGTGAGCGGTATAGAAATTTCAGATCTTTTCTCTTACCCCTCAGATTTTTTTTTTAAAAAACATGAATTAAATGAACCAACCCTAATTTATAAGGGTTGACTGATTTGGTTTAAAGCCTAAATGATTTGAGTAAGAAAAATTCATTTTTATTCAAGTAATCTTTTTTGTAACCTGACCCAACCTTAATCTGGCAGCCTATATAACTTGACTCGTATTTTTAATTCTACATTTTTTTTTTGCTGGTTTATGATTTTATATTACGTGCCTAGAGGTATTCAAATGCTTCCATAAAATGAGAATGAATTTAAGGGGAAAAAACAAGAAGAAGAACAAGCGGATTGATAAGCTAGACGCGTTTTATTCTTCTTGTTGACATC